CAATAACTAACAAAGCGCTAATCAAAATTGTTTTCACACAGATTACTTGGGTGAAACACGACTTACAGCCTCCAGCCATGACGGAGTCGGCTGATGTCGCATTGATAACAGTAACTTCCATATTAATTATCACCTGCATCGTGGGAAACTGTTTCGTCTGTGCTGTAGTGATGAAAAATCGACAGATGAGGTAAATTTAAAGTAGAAGTTGTTAACCTAAATACCTGATCGCATTTATGGCATAGGTGCATGATGGATCAGTAAAACGCAGAAAACGCAGAAAGTGAGTTATTTGGGCGAATGAAGAAAGCCGCGCGAGAACGCGCGAGCGAGCGGCGAAGCCACGAGGGGCCGAGGAAAGGAGAGAGCTCTCCTTTCTCTCAACAGACCCGCGCTTTTGCGTCTCCTCTTGTGTGCCTCTCGCGCGTCTACTTTTCACGATATCCGCCAAAAGGAGAGCTTGCTCGCAGGCTTAAAGTAAGTTTAAGAATATCTCCAGGGGTTGTTGATTTTATACACGGTTTGACTTCAGCAAGGTTTATTTTTGCGATCAACCAAAACCAGTTGAATTAAGAGAGAGACTGGAGCTTCGCTTTTGGCCTTGGCTGAAACGATATATTACCAGTAATAGCTGACCATATTATTCCACAGGACACCCATCAACTATCTCCTCGTCAACCTGGCAGCAGCGGACATCTGTTACGTAACATTTGTTACACCAACAATTATTTTAAGCCACGATGTCGACCATCCAAAGGGGATCGCTGGGACAATTTTATGCGCAATTGTAACAGGAGGAGGATTAGCATGGACTGGAGCGGAGGCCTCAATATTTACACTGCTTGTTGTTGCCTTTGAAAGATACTTTGCCGTTGTACATCCGTATGGAAACCGGGGAATGCTAACGTTTCGCAAAGTAAAGGTGTGTTTCTTTAAAATAAGATGTTATGCAGGTACAAATTTCTCAACACAAAAAGTAGCCTTGCCTTTTTGTTGGATCCGATGAACATAAGTTAGACAGCCCAGTAAACAGGCTAGCCTTCGTGATTTGCGCAAGAAGGGCAGGGGTAGGAAATGTGGGAGAAAAGCGCGACAGGTAAAAGGGAAGGGATCGTTTACCCTCTCTCCCCAACCCTCCCCTCCCTTCCCTTCCTCTCAATCCTCTACCACTTTTTTATAGCCTACGCAGGCTATAAACAGGCCTTCCTCCTCGCTCGTCTATATATGCTGGCAAGTGTTGAGGCAAACTGATTAAGAAACAGATAAGAAAATCGTGGGCGGATCTGGAGGGGGGAGGGTTGCGGATGGTGTCCTAATCTCGGCTCTTCATTCTTACTCCCAAATGCGCTTTCCTTATCTCAGAGACGAACTTTGTAGCTAAGACATTTTTTTCCCCACGACAAAAATAACTAACTTTTAGATGTGTGATTGACCTTTTTGAATATCATTTTGTCTCTATGTTTTAGGTAATTATTCCTGGAATTTGGATCCTCGGAGCAATAAAAAATGTCCCAGAATTCGTGAAACGGAGCCGTTTTGTGAAGGAAAATAGTTCTAACTACTGCATTTCCTTATTAGCTGAGGAAAGTGAAAAGGCCCTTTTTGCTGTTTACTCTTCAATTGACTCTGTTTTGTTGATTTTGCTGGTCTTGTTTTACTCCAAGATCGTTTACACTTTTTGGTTCAAGCACAGTGATAATGTACTTACACATCAACAACAGGTAGGAGATAGCTAGGTTTAGCCCCGGAAAGTGGGATACTCAACAATGTATTATACGGGGAGGCTCCCCCTTGATGTCCGACCCCTTATCCTTTTATATACTAGTTTTGACAGAAGAGGTGCCCTTTTCGGGTGGAGCCTCACAGTATAGGCCATTACAGGAAAAACCCTCCGGGGATTTAGCTGGCCTTTAACGGGGTTTACTCCCTCCCTTACATATTAAAGTTATAATGGTGTGTATGGCAACAAAGGGTTATGGTACTTTGACCATTATGGTGTTTTGGGTTTCAAATAGTGTCAGGTTTCCTGCTTCCTGATCTTACAGTTTGGACTCTAAGGTTTAAATTTTTTCATAATACAGAACAAGTTATTAGGCTTCAATTCCGGCTATCTTAAGTTGGACCCAAAATTTAAGGTTTCACGGTCATAACAAAGGTAGACAAGACGAAACACTCGGTATTATAGGTCACTTATATTGTACACTTGGGTAACCTGTGGTTTATGTATTTGTTTTGCACACAGGGTGTGTTGAGGTTAAGGAAGCGGGCCACCTTAACGGCTGTTACCATCAGTGCCATTCTTGTAATCTCTTGGGGAGCAGACGGAATATTGCACCTGATACAAGAATATGCTGGCTCCGTAAAACTGAGTCCTTTAACAACTCCTATCACGCACACGATAATGATATTTAACTCTGCCGTCAATCCCTTTGCTTACGCTTTGCTGAACCAACGATTCAGGACGAAAGTGAAGCAAATGGTATGTCTGCGTTCTTTTGTAACAAGGGTTCATCCTATGTACCCGCAACAGCGTGAACGACAAGACAACGTGGTGGCAATCAGCACTGGTATCATCCGTATGACACAGAAAACCAACTGAGTGACAGGTTGAAGACAATTCTCGAGAAAAATGTGTGTCCACAGTAATGGACACTGACGTTGCTGTCACCCTGCGACCGCACCCTGTGTCGTGTAATCAGTTTTTCGTCATTGTTTTTGTTCATTGCATCTTCCTTTCTGTTATTACTAAGGTTAAGGCAAAGAGTATCCATATAAAAAAAAGTTATGGTCGACGCAAGTCCCTGCCACTCTGGCTTGTTTCGGCTGTATAGTTAGTTCTTGTAGCGAAATCGTCGAGCATGATGCCATACTAACAAAAAGGTAAACCTTCGGACTTCGCGATCGACCCCGCCCGTGACGACTGTAAGAAGTGGTCGAGCAAAGGAAGTAGCGAAAGTATCAAAACAGTGAAATAAAATCCGTAAACCTTCACTCTTAAGTGTCGATGCTTAAATAGTAAATAAACATTATGGTGCTTTTAGTCTTCCCCCGTGAAAACAAGTTTCCTTTGGTTGAAACATGCCGTTTGAACGGCTTTTACTAAGCTCCGCCCCAAATGCTGCGTCGTTCATCTTGTAAAGGTGTTATCGTTTCCTTACATTGTTTACTGATGGTAGCTTTTTAAAACTTCTTCCTTATCTCCTAAGACCAAGAAAAGACGCATGCCTACACAACGGACTATCGTCGGGTAAATATCGGTTACAAAAGTCATGTATGAACTCCTCGGGTTTGAAACCAAATTTCTGATACATTAGCATGGCTGGATTCGTGACTGATACATGGAGCGTCACGTCTTTACCCAAGCAAGTTTGAATTAAGTGATAAATCATGTAGGTTCCAATCCCCACTCGGCGCCACTCGGGATGGACTAAAACGAATGATGTAAGCCTCGTTGTATTTCACATCTGGGACCATCAAGCCAAAACAAGATAAAAACTGCTATCCATAGAGGCCCTATATGATAAACTAAATTGAACCGAAATAAAAGTGATTATCAAGTACAAATAAAAATAGCTATAAAATGTTATATAAAAGTCTTAATCATAAAACTCTAACAATCTAAATCTGATTAAAAATTCCACTTGTACATAACAGAATACTCGACAGATGACCAGTCAAGAATAGAACAAGCTACCTGCGGGTCCGTGTATTTCAGTGAAAAAGGAGAATCAAGGAAAATAAAGATTTTTGTTGTTGTTCCTGTTGTTTCTTCTATTATAACGTTGTCGTTTCGAGCCAAGATTGCCAAAATTGTGGTTTCGAGCCAATAAGTATAAATTTTTACCGTCTATGCCATAAGAATAATCTAAACTGTTAAGGGACGGGCAAGAGGGAGGTTTACTCAGCAAAAAGCGAGGTCACAGGGCTAGACGAACGTGTGTTCTGTCGCACTTTGTAATAAAATTGTCGCACTTTGTAATAACACTTGTCGAACTTTGTAATAAAAAAGCTGTCGCACTTTGTAATAAAATAAGCTGTCGCACTTTGTAATAAACTTGAAATGTATGGTCGGACGACATGTAAACCCGACAATAAGTATCATCATCGACAACAGCAACAACAGTAATAATAATCATATAATATATAAATAATTATAATAATAACATTCCACTGAACGGTTTTCAGTACCGATTTTTGAAGTGCGGGCGGAGGAAAGTGCCTTCCCGCTTCAATATCTTTGTAGGAAAGTAAAACTCTTTCTTTGCGGAAAACCTCGAGACCATGAGATAGTGTCCATAACAGCAAGAGTCCGTAGTGATGGGATTTTGTATTGGAATTTAGCTGCTATCTGTATTATCGGGTTTTGCCTAAAAGTAAGGTGTCCCTGACTGTATAAGCAAAATATTTTGAAAGTTTTACTAGTAGCACGGGCAACAAAGAAATCCGGTTTCATTGCCCTCGAGGATATGATCTGTGATATAACGAGATTTGTATAGGTAATAGCATGATTTGTATAGTGATGTTTGGTATAAATACCACGAGTGATATTTCGAATTTGTTATACGTAATTTCACGAGCCGTTAGGCGAGTGAAATTTGTGACAATTTTGAAATATCACGTGTGATATTTATGCCAAATATTACGTACAAATCGTGTTATTATTTGTTTACACTACTACCCGCAAAAGGTTTGTAATTTTCACATGTAGGTATTTCAAATTAATCTGAAATACCATTGCTCTAAGCCAATCAAATTGCAGAAATTTCTCATGTGGTAGTATAATAGTGTTTATTGCCATGAATAAGCGCTATACTAATAGAACTAAAAAACACAAACATCGAGAAAAACACGGTGCCACAATCATCATCATAAACAGACAATCATCATCATTATTATATATCTCACTATTGCATATCAATTGCCCACGTCATTGTGCTACAATGACTGCTAATTTTGTGGAAATTTCGAATGCGCTAGAACCGACATGAAACAAAATAGATTCATAATAATCAAAAAATGCGACTAATGCTAAGATAAGATAACAAAACGTAAAAAAATGCAAACACGAAAGACAAATCTAAGTACAATGATACTAACAAAAGATCTCAGTCTCGAACGTTTATGCTCAAGTTCCACTCCTATGTAAGTTGTAACAAAGCACTTTTTCGCCTGTTGTTGCCACGCGTTCTTTCTCCCTAGCTAAATAATGAGGTGTCTCTGCCTAGAGCTTTGAGGTATGCTACATGTTTCGCCAACATATAGCCATGATGATAAGCCATCCAAGACCTACATAACGCAGTACCAGCGAAGCATTTTCCCATTTTTTTATTTGATATTATTCGCCATAATTCATGCACGACACCACTTGAAGGTCCAAACATTCTTATATGAGTATTTTTTAAAAAAACTGACATTTCCCGCTACCCCGCCACAGGAGAAGTAAATACGCGGCAGATGATCTGAAAAGCAAACGAGTATTAACTTGACATCTGTGAGTAGGTCACGAAAGGGTGCCAGGTTCTTCTTTAACAATGAATGACGTCATTGTTTAAGATAATTTTAATCATCAAAATGCCAACTTCTTGATTTTGTCAGACACCTTACTATTTGAGTATTTTTCGCTTCGAGGGAAAAATTATGGAATTGGATTTTGCCAATAAATTCAAGAACATGACTTCTAAATGACATCAAATTACGTCATTGTGACAATCAAGTTATGCTTAGATGTTGGAAATAAATAGTACATTATTCTGTGTTATTGTGGTGTCCGTTTTATTTGTGGCCCTTATATAAATAATAATCATCATAAAACATCTTCAATAATAATAACAATTATTATTATTGTTGTTGTTGTGGTCGATGATGATACTTATTATTGGGTTTACATGTCCTCCAACCATACATTTCAAGTTTATTACAAAGTACGACAACTGTTATTACAAAGTGCGACAGCTTATTTTATTACAAAGTGCGACAGCTTTTTTATTACAAAGTGCGACAAGTGTTAGTACAAAATGCGATAGGTCATACAAAGTGCGACAGAACATCGTCTTGTCTAAGGTAGTTTTTTTTTCTTCTCAGGTTTTCGGTTTTATCCTTGTGTTGCGTACGAGATTGGCCGAATTTATACTAGAGACGAACTATTTGTCGAGACGGATTATCCGTCGGACGGATAATTCGTCTAAGTATAAATCTGAAGACGAATTTTGACGAAAATTTGTCTAGATATTTTACGTGGGTTGCGAAAATATAGAAACCAGTCCCTCTCATGTAGCAACTTCGTCCAAAAACCGTCCACGTCCCGTCTAGATATAAATTTAGAGACGGATCATCCGTCTAAGACGAATTTTCCGTCTGTTAGCACGTCTTCAAGACGTGTTAACAGACGAATCAGCCTCAGACGAATTTTGCTCTATACTTGGACGAATTATCCGTCTCAGACGGATAACTTGTCGACGAGGGATAATTCGTCTCTAGGATAAATTCGGCCAATTAAGCTTAGATTATTACGGTAGCCACTTTTTCCAACTTCAGGAGCCTTTTTCACCTTGGACAACACGATATGATTAGAAATCATTTTCTGAAAGATGCTATAAATTACAAAACTGCTTCTTTAATTAAATTTGCGTACTTGAAGTCAAAACAACGAACGCTTCATTCTTAGAGATTTGCACCATCTGTGTTTCCCCCACAAAAGTTTGAACAGCGTGAAATTTGCGAACAACCAGTTCAACGCGAGACGTTCTTACATTCCCTGGATCTTCCTGCGCAACCTTGATTACGAAAATTGCCTACAGATAGAGAAATACCCTCGCAGCTGTCTTCTTACCAGCATGAAGTCATTTCTCCCCGTCTTTTTTTTTTTTTTTGAAGGTTTGTGTATGTGCCGATGAACAAACGAACTCAAAATCTATTCCCGTATCTCTGAGATAATTTTGAAAAAAAAAAGAAAAAGAAAAAGTGTCTCGTGGGTTCTTCTTTTGTTCTTCATTGTTACCATGTCCGTTGCATCGTAGATTTAGACGCAAGAGAGTATACTTTAGGTCTTGTTTTTTTTACTTCACCATATGGAATATTACCTGCTTCTAAGCTTTTAACTTCCTATTTTTGACCACCCATTGTCGTTAATGTATTCTTCCATTATTACTATTACCATTTACAGCTATTTCAAATAATCTAGACGGAATGCTTCCACGGTAAGATCGCACCGCCGGTAACTTCATAAAAATTTACCAAACGTAGCCATGAAGAAACTTCTCTGTCGTAAAATCACAAAGGCAAAGGTTTGTGAGGGTTTATACAGTTAAGTGGCACTGCCAAAGTAACTTTGAACGGTTAAGGTGAATTACAAAAGATTTACAGCTATGCCTTGTAGCCGTATGTCTACACTATACCGAGGGGGGCGTTGGGATTTTCGGCTTTTCGGTTTTGGCCATTTTTTAGGTCGGTTTTTCGGTTTTGTTGACCGTTGCGGTTTCCTCTTTTTCCGTTTTTTTAGCATCTGGTTTTCGGTTTTTTGGCAAAAAATAAAGCGGTTTTTCAGATTTTGGTGACCGATGTGCTTTTCTGGTTTTTCCAATTTAGAAGGAAGTCAAAGACAGACTTGCACGGGCTCCCAATGTGGATTTTGTCGTTGTGTCGCATTGTCAACTGCCTTCAAGTTACATTTTTGCTCTTACAAGCATTTCTTTTAGAGATTAACCTCTTTTGTAGGATATGATCGGAGGTCTTTTGAAAATTGTTTTCAGCAGAGGCTGATTTTCTTTTAGACTTCAGTTTATAACATCAATGTCTTTTAAAGATCTTGTACCGCTGGATGATACGTTGTAACGAAAGGCAATAGTGTCTCTTTACTTCTTTGCTTTTGTTTTAGCGCCGATTGTCTTAAGTCAAAGTTGACATCTGACATCGAGCTTTCTGTATGTTGTTTAGGATACCCACGGGCTTGGAAGTATTGTTTAAAGTTCGAAAGGCACTCTTCAAATGTGCTTTTTTAAGAGTTTGTTCTGAGCAATCTTATTGCTTCACCTTTTTAATAATGAAATCTCTATTTACCCCCGGAGGGTGGCACGAGGTAAAGTGTGTATACTTAAAAGGTTTCGGTCGGCTTGTAGTGGGTTTTGATGTCCACAAAAACCACATTGGGAGTACGTGCAGGTCCGTCTTTGACTTCCTTCCAAATTGAAATGACTCCTTGTTAAGGTCCCGCTAACGACCAAAAAAGTGACAAACTTTGCGGGTTAGATTCCTCTGTGGGTCTCTGTGCAGTCATATGTTAGGCTACTATATATGTTTCTATATTTTACAGTCAATCCAGGTCAAACTGCAATGTGGGAGTCTGGATTTTTGATAGAGGTTTACACCTGGAGAGCTTTTTGCGGACGCAAAATTTCACCCAAGTGTCCTCTATTGCTATTCAATCGAGGATTTTTGTGGACTCTCCTAGAGGGTCCTAGGCCTAATATGCCGGTTTTACGACCATAGCATCCATAGGTACTGCTGAAAGTATAGGGGTATAGAATGGTACTTCCAAAAACGTAGGTCTCAGAACAGTTTGGACTGATCTCGAAATCGCAGAAGCGTTTTGGATGGGTCTCGCAGACGGTCTCGGAGTCTCGAATCTGTCGTTTCTTCTTTCCGTTTTGGTCTTGAGAAGTCGAATTTTTCAGAGTTCGTGGTTACAGCTTATCGAACTGAGCTATAAAATTAAGACAGTAAACCAGGGGAAAGCAGTATATTGGTGGGCTACTGCTAGCTTTCGTTGACGTTTTTGGTCATTTCAGTTAGCTTTACTGATTTGCACCATTGTAGAGTTTGGGCGCTTAAAGTCTCGGGGCTCGGAATTTTTAGAAGTAAAGTCTCGGTCTCAAATTTTCAAACCAGTCTCGAATTTACCATTCTTTTCCCCTGAAAATGGATCGTCACAGATTGGATAGATTTCGGCGCCACTCTTTTGCACACTGTAAACAGGTGTTTATACTGCACCGACATGAAAATCTATCCGGTATATTTAGTGTACACATAGCCTTAAAATCCGACAAGATTAATTAATTGAAGTACACTGTAGCTGTTCATCACTTCTATTAATCGATGAAAGGGGGATCTTCCTTGAAAAGCCGTAAGCGCAAAGGGGCTGCTAAATACTATGATCTTCTACCCCTATGCACCGAAAGGAATTATTTGAATTAGATGCCAATGCTGGGGGAAATATTCTTCTTCAAATTCAGATAAACGTACTTTTTGAAGGAAAAGGGCTCTTTAAAAGACTAACACTAGTAAACCTTAATTCATTTCCGTCGCTGTACAAAACTGTGAATTAACAAATCAAACAATCGGAAAACAGGATACAAAATTATGGACCATCTGACTATATACGCCAGTCTGTTTTCCTTTAGGTTTTGGTTACCGACATGCTGTGTTACAATATTTAGAAATGGGCGAAAGATAAGCTTTTGGATCGCCTACAATTATTTCACAATTTTACCCCCAGTTCGCTTTACGTTTGGTAACTGTAAACGGAGGAAAAACCCTGTTTGAGCTGAAAAGAAACCCCGGTATAGCTTTCTTGTGCGTGATTTGTGAAATAAACGGCTAATGCAATACCCAATAGCTAACAAAGCGCTAATCAAAATTGTTTTCACACAGATTACTTGGGTGAAACACGACTTACAGCCTTCAGCCATGTCTGAGGAGTCGGCTGATGTCGCATTAATAACAGTAACTTCCATATTAATTATCACCTGCATCGTGGGAAACTTTTTCGTCTGTGCTGTAGTGATGAAAAATCGACAAATGAGGTAAATTTAAAGTAGTAGTTGTTAACCTAAATACCTCATCGTATTTTTGGCATAGGTGCATGATGGATCAGTGAAACGCAGACAACGCAGAAAGTGAGTTATTTGGGCGAGCGAAGCAAGCCGCGAGGGGCCAAGGAAAGGAGAGAGCTCTCCTTTCTCTCAACAGACCCGCGCTTTAGCGTCACCTCTCGCGTGCCTCTCGCGCGTCTACTTTCCACGATATCTCCCAAATGGAAAGCTTGCTCGCAGGCTAAAAGTGAGTTAAAGAATATCTCCCGGGATCGTTGATTTTATACACGGTTTGACTTCGACAAGGTTTATTTTTGCGATCAACCAAAACCAGTTGAATTACTTGACAACGACTGGAGCTTCGCTTTTGGCCTTGGCTGAAACGATATATTACCAGTAATAGCTGACCATATCATTCCACAGAACACCCATCAACTATCTGCTCGTCAATCTGGCAGCAGCGGACATCTGTTACGTAACATTTGTTACACCAACAATTATTTTAAGCCACGATGTCGACCATCCAAAGGGGATCGCTGGGACAATTTTGTGCGCAGTTGTAACAGGGGGAGGATTAGCGTGGACTGGAGCGGACGCTTCAATACTTACACTTCTTGCCTTCGCCTTTGAAAGATACTTTGCCGTTGTACATCCCAATGGAAACCGGGGAATGCTAACGTTTCGCAAAGTAAAGGTGTGTTTCTTTAAAATAAGATGTTATGCAGGTACAAATTTGTCAACACAAAAAGTAGCCTTGCCTTTTTGTTGCATCCGATGGACATAAGTTACTATGCGTAAAGCTATCTTTTAAAAGACAGCCCAGTAAACAGGCTAGCCTTCGTGGTTTGCGCAAAAAGGGGAGGGGAGGAGATGAGGGAGAAAAGTACGTCAGGAAAAAGGGAAGGGATCGTTTACCCCCTCCCGAACCCTCCCCTCCCTTTTCCCTTCGTCTCAATCCTCTACCACTTTCGACGCCTGCTATAAACAGGCGTTCTTCCTCGCTCTTCTATATGCTGGCACGTGGCTGGCACGTGTTGAGACAAACTGATTAAGAAACAGGTAGACAAATCTTGGGCGGATCTGGTAAGGGGGAGGGAGGGAAGGGGGAAGGGTTGCAGATGGTGTCCTGGTCTCGCCTCTCCATCCTTACTCCCAATGCGCTTTCCTTATCTCAGAGACGAACTTTTTACCTAAGACATTTTTTCGCCACGAGAAAAACAACTAACTTTTAGATGTGTGATTCACCTTTTTGAATATCATTTTTTCTCTATGTTTTAGGTTATTATTCCTGGAATTTGGATCCTCGTAGCAATAAACAATATCCCAGGATTCATGAAACGGAGCCGTTTTGCGGAGGAAAATAGTTCTAACTACTGCATTTCCTTGTTAGCTGAGGAAAGTAAAAAGGCCCTTTCTGCTGTTTACTCTTCAATTGATTCTGTTTTGTTGATTGTGCTGGTCTTGTTACACTCTAAGATCGTGTACACTTTGTGGTTCAAGCACAGTGATAATGTACTTACACCTCATCAACAGGTATGCGGTAGGACACAACTAGGTTTAGCCCCGGAAAGTGGAATACTCAACAATGCATTATACGGGGAGGCTCCCCCTTGATGTCCGACCCCTTATCCTTTTATATACCATTTTTGACAGAAGAAATACCCTTTTCGGGCGGAGCCTGCCAGTATAGGCCATTACGGGAAGTACCCCCTGGGGATTTAGCTGGCCTTTAACGGGGTTTACTCCCTCCCTTACATATTAAAGTTATAATGGTGTGTATGGCAACAAGGGGTTATAGTATTTTGACCATTATGGTGTTTTGGGTTTCAAATAGTGTCAAGTTTCCTGCTTCCTGATCTTACAGTTTGGACTCTCAGGTTTAAATCTTTTCATTATACAGAACAAGTTATTAGGCTTCAATTCCGGCTATCTTAAGTTGGACCCAAAATTTAAGGTTTCACGGTCATAACAAAGGTAGACAAGACAAAATAATCGGTATTATAGGTCACTTATATTGTACAATTGGGTAACCTGTGGTTTATGTATTTATTTTGTATACAGGGTGTGTTGGCGTTAAGGAAGCGGACCACCTTAACGGCTGTTACCATCACTGCCATTCTTGTAATCACTTGGGGAGCAGACGGAATATTGCACCTGATACACGAATATGCTGGCTCCGTGAAACTGAGTCCTTTAGCACTTCCTATTGCGCACACGATAATGATATTTAACTCTGTCGTCAATCCCTTTGCTTACGCTTTGCTGAACCAAAGATTCAGGACGAAAGTGAAGGAAATGGTATGTTCGCAATGTTTTGGAACAAGGGTTCACCCTATGAGCCCGCAACAGAGTGAACGACAAGACAACGAGGTGGCAATCAACACTGGTAACATCCCTATGACATAAAAAACCAACTGAGTGACAGGTTGAAGACAATTCTCTAGAAAAATGTGTCCACAGTAATGGACACTGACGTTGCTGTCACCCTGCGACCGCGCCCTGTTTTGTGTAATCAGTTGTTCGTCTTTGTTTTTGTTCATTGCATCTTCCTTTCTGTTATCACTAAGTTAAAGGCAAAGAGAATCCATATAAAATTAATTATGGTCTACGCGTCCCTTCCAGTCTGGCTTGTTTCGACCGTATAGTTAGTTCTTGTAGCGAAATCGTCCAGCATGATGCCATACTAAGAAGAGGTAATTAACTTTCGAACTTAGCGATCGACCCCGACTGTGACGACTGTAAGAAGTGGTCGAGTACAGGAAGTACCGAAAGTATCAAAACAGTGAAATAACTCCGTCAACCTTCACTCTGAAGTGTCAATGCTTAAATATTAAATGAATATTATGGTGCTTTTGGTCTTCCTCTATGAAAACAAGTTTCCTTTGGTAAAACATGCCGTTGGAACGGCTTCTACTAAGCTCCCCCCACCCCCCACCCCCCCAAATTAACGCCGCGTCGTTCATTTTATAAAGGTGTTATCGTTTCTTTACTTTGTTTACTGGTTCTAGCTTTTTAAAACTTCTTCCTTATCTCCTAAGTCGAAGAAAAAACGCATGCCTACACTGCGGACTATCGTCGGGTAAATATCGGTTATAAAAGTCACGTATGAACTCCTCGGGTTTGAAACCGAATTTCTGATACATGAGCATGGCTGGATTCGTGACTGATACATGGAGTGTCACGTCTTTACCCAAGCAAGTTTGAATTAAGTGATAAATCATGTAGGTTCCAATCCCCCCTCGNTCACTTATATTGTACAATTGGGTAACCTGTGGTTTATGTATTTATTTTGTATACAGGGTGTGTTGGCGTTAAGGAAGCGGACCACCTTAACGGCTGTTACCATCACTGCCATTCTTGTAATCACTTGGGGAGCAGACGGAATATTGCACCTGATACACGAATATGCTGGCTCCGTGAAACTGAGTCCTTTAGCACTTCCTATTGCGCACACGATAATGATATTTAACTCTGTCGTCAATCCCTTTGCTTACGCTTTGCTGAACCAAAGATTCAGGACGAAAGTGAAGGAAATGGTATGTTCGCAATGTTTTGGAACAAGGGTTCACCCTATGAGCCCGCAACAGAGTGAACGACAAGACAACGAGGTGGCAATCAACACTGGTAACATCCCTATGACATAAAAAACCAACTGAGTGACAGGTTGAAGACAATTCTCTAGAAAAATGTGTCCACAGTAATGGACACTGACGTTGCTGTCACCCTGCGACCGCGCCCTGTTTTGTGTAATCAGTTGTTCGTCTTTGTTTTTGTTCATTGCATCTTCCTTTCTGTTATCACTAAGTTAAAGGCAAAGAGAATCCATATAAAATTAATTATGGTCTACGCGTCCCTTCCAGTCTGGCTTGTTTCGACCGTATAGTTAGTTCTTGTAGCGAAATCGTCCAGCATGATGCCATACTAAGAAGAGGTAATTAACTTTCGAACTTAGCGATCGACCCCGACTGTGACGACTGTAAGAAGTGGTCGAGTACAGGAAGTACCGAAAGTATCAAAACAGTGAAATAACTCCGTCAACCTTCACTCTGAAGTGTCAATGCTTAAATATTAAATGAATATTATGGTGCTTTTGGTCTTCCTCTATGAAAACAAGTTTCCTTTGGTAAAACATGCCGTTGGAACGGCTTCTACTAAGCTCCCCCCACCCCCCACCCCCCCAAATTAACGCCGCGTCGTTCATTTTATAAAGGTGTTATCGTTTCTTTACTTTGTTTACTGGTTCTAGCTTTTTAAAACTTCTTCCTTATCTCCTAAGTCGAAGAAAAAACGCATGCCTACACTGCGGACTATCGTCGGGTAAATATCGGTTATAAAAGTCACGTATGAACTCCTCGGGTTTGAAACCGAATTTCTGATACATTAGCATGGCTGGATTCGTGACTGATACATGGAGTGTCACGTCTTTACCCAAGCAAGTTTGAATTAAGTGATAAATCATGTAGGTTCCAATCCCCCCTCGGCGCCACTCGGGATGGACTAAAACGAATGAGATGTAAGCCTCGTTGTATTTCACATCCGGGACCATAAAGCCAAAACCGATGACAAATTTTCTGCAAGAAAAGATCGAACGGCTGTTACCATATCGCAGTGAAGTGAAATGTGTTTTCCTTGACACGACCTGCGATTACATTTTAAATAAGCATTATGGATACTGCAGAGAGTTGCGTTCTAGACTGCTAGAAGCTCCGCAGTCCGCCAAAAAAAACGCATTTTAATCTATGTCTCTTACTTGTAAAGGACAACACAGCTGAAGTCAGGATATTGAAGACATTCAGACACTATAAACAGAAACAATAAACAAAGAAAGATTTAGTATGCAGCAAAAAAAAAAACGGAGTGATGGTAATGATGGAGATGATAACGGAGATGGGGAGTGATGGCAAGGATGATCATGACGACGCTGACGATGACGACAATGGCGATGATGATGATAACGAGGATAGAGGGTGATGATGAGGAGGAGGGGGAGGAGGAGCAGGAGGAGGAGGAGGGGGAGGGGCAGGAGGCAGAGGAGAAGGAGGAGGAGGGGCAGGAGGAGGAGGAGGAGGAGGGGGAGGAGGCAGAGGAGGAGGAGGAGGAGGGGCAGGAGGAGGGGAGGAGGAGAAGGAGAAGGAGAAGGAGGAGGAGGAAGAAGAGGGGAGAAGGAAGGGGGAAGAAGAAAAGTAAAACTGAGAAAACTTACGATCGATTCCTGGCCAGAAGAACTCTCTACACATGGCGTTTACAGATGGAATATGATGCGGTTGCACGTAGCAGTAATCAATTGGAGCAACAGGTGGTGGTTTCCAACCCGGATCATTCCTAAAAAAGGAACATTTATTATACTCATTTTCAGTGGCTTTAACTCACTTGCTCTAGACGAATACACTTTGATTTCTGTACCATAACCTAAACATAACTGCTGGAAAAACACACATTTATTATATGGCTGAATTCGTGAACGGCCAAGATGAAGTCAATCCTGCCGTGTTCTGATTGGCTACTCGGGCGGAATGGGCGTATGGGCCCATTTGTCCGCTCGGGATTTCCCGCGTTGGTCCCGTAACAAAAAACTGGTCAAGATGCCTGAATATTGGCCTCGGTCCCATCAAACCACAAAAAGAAACTTGGAAAATATCCACCCATCTTGGTCAATAACGCATAGCAGTTGCGTACTGTATATAGCTGATGTATGAAAGTACACCCCGCCGTCCATCAGGGGGGATGTGTACCCCGCTCAGAGAATATAAGCCTTATACTGCATATGAAAGTACCGCAAGTCTTCACAGAGCTCCCCCCCGCCCCGCTCTGCCTCTTTTTCAGGGGAAGAAAGTTATTAAAGCCCCCACCTTTCTTTTAGCCGCCCTCTCCTCTCTCTTTATTTTTCACAACCAAATTAATAAAAGATGGATTGATCTGGTATGATTTATTCATGTGCTTAAAGGTCATATTCGTTTTTATCTTCCGCTGCAAGACCTCCAACGTCTTTTTCTTGAGCTTTTCCACTTTGCGTCCTAGTTCTTTATGGAGAATCGATACAGTAGAGCCCCCGTATCGGTAAATTCAAGGAGTCACCGCTCTCAATAAACCCTCCCCCCTCAAACGCGCTTGAAAGTCCCCCCGGGAAGAGGGTTAATAGAGGATTTATGGTAATGAATACCTGTGATAGTGAGAGACAATATCTTGCAACAGCTTCAGCTTCAAAGGTCTACTCTCATAATCTCGTCGGATAAATGGCTTCAGTATCCTGGACGTGTAGGGACTGGTAATAGGTCTGTACAACGTCTGATTATCGCCACCAATGAGCCTTGTTAAAAACGAGCAAGTCCTGGGGCGAGAACTCGGAAGCATTCGAGGAGATGCCTGGAAAGTAAAGATGAATACCGTAAATCCTCTATTAAGCACCCCCTCTCAAATAAGTCCCCTCTCTCTAATACGCACACCCCCTTAATAAGCCCCCCCCCTTCCCTCCCCTCCCCTCCCCTCCCCTAATTATTCGTCACTAATAAATGATAGACTGTATTAATCAATCACTACTGTGAAACTTCGTGTGGACTGATCCGGGATGGCAGGAGCCCATCAAATGATCAATTCAATGATCAATGATCAATTTGATGGGCTCCTGGGGATGGTTTATTTACCAACTGGAAGTTCGGACTTGTTTCCGATCCTCGGCTGCATGACCTAAATGAGCTTTTCCACTTTTTTTCGTATTCTAGTTCTTTATGGAGAACTGACATCGTCGTCTTTTCTCAGTTAAATAAGCGCCCCCTCTCAAATAGGACCCCGTCTCTATTAAGCCCCCCTCCTCGTCAGGGAAAGAAAGTTAATAAGCCCCCCTCCCCTCCCCTAATTATTCTTCACTAATACTATGATAGACTGTATTAATCAATCACGACTGTGAAACTTCGTGTGGACTGATTCGGGATGGTTTATTTACCAACTGGAAGTTCAAATGGGCTTTAAATAAATAAGCCCTCCGAGGGGGAAGGGGGGGGGAGTAATTTTAGAACAGTAAATATGGTTTTGTGAAGTTCTATTCGTGTCTCACCTGAAATCTATCGAGGATATTGTCTGTAGAAGTAAATGCTGAGGAAGCCTGAAGTTTGAGGGGCTTGACGCGAGTTTCTTCAACGACATCTGAAGATGTGCTGCGATTCTATCAAAAGAGAAACAAACTTACTATAACCAGGAAGCAAAGTCCAGGGTTCAAAGCTGGGAAGGCTGTTACGCGCAAACATGCGTGTCTGGTGGAGCTTTGAAGAAGTTCCAAATTCCAAGGCCTCCGAGTTTCCTCCTCAAAACGAAATACGTACTACATAAGGCACAGAATAAGATTAACGAGAGAATATGAGGCGGATGAGAATGAGAGAAGGGAAATCGCGTTAGTATTCTCCTTTGTTCCCTCCTATTTCCGAGGCCTTTCCAATAAATATTTTCTCCTACTAAACTGGCTGCGGTCTAGGCTTCTAACGAGACGTAACGAGAGAGAACCTGGAGAAAAAGAAACAGGAGCACTCGAGAAACACTCGAGACGAACAACAAACTACGCTTATACTCTCCCAAGGCCTTCCCAAATACCGAGAAACGAAAGGCAACGTTTAGCACTATTCGTCACGTTTGCTTACCTCAATTGGTACCGCGCCATCTGGGGTTAGCTTGTATCTCACAGTTGAACTAATAGCCTCGGAAACAGACTCGTCCAGGTCAAATAATTTCAATCCTTTAGACCTTTTCAGCTGAATAGAACAAATGAGAATTACGTTATTTACACTATCAATGCCACGTGCAGCCTTTCTCAGAGCTATCTTGAAGACACAAATATCCGGCGGATTCCGGTGGACAGGGCCTCAAAAACTTTCTTGGAAATTTATTGTTTTGATAATTAAACCTCACAAGCAGTGTGTTGTTTTGGTGATTAAACTTATCATGGCACATGCTGGAATTTCTCGTGGCACGTGCAAATTTTTGTTTTGCTAATTAATTTGATAATTAAACCTCCTCGCAGTGTGTTGTTTTGGTGATTAAACTTATCATAGCACTTGCTAGAACTTCTCGTAGTATGTGCAAATGTGTGGTTTTGCTAATTAAGGCTGTGTTCACACTACCCCGGAGAGCTTTTGCCCGGGCACGTAAACCATACCGGATAGAGCTTCCCTTCATACATAAGAACGGTAATTTTAGCGCGAAATCTATAACGGAGCGAAGTTGCGCTTCGCCGATCTCTAAAGTAGACTTTCAAAAAAGTCCTTCGTAGGATTTCAAATGGCGCGGGACGAAGGACGACCTCTCGCGACTTCGTTGCTCGCGGTCGGCCGCTTCGCGGCCAAACAAGGCTCGCTCCGCTCGCCAAGAGGTCGACTTGTAGCAAGTATATTTCTAAAGTGGAGAGTCACATATCTGATAGGTGTTTATACTTTACTGGATAGGGCTTCCCTTCATACATAAGAACGGTGATTTTAGCGCGATTTCTATAACGTAGCGACGTTGTGCTTCGCCGATCTCTAAAGTGGGGAGTCAAAAATCGGGTAGGTGTTTTTACTATACCAGATGGGTATTCGGGTCGAGACGAAAAACTGTCTGGTAGAGTGTGAACATAACCTAAGTTGTCGTCCGCTTGTAAAAGAGAGCTTTAGATACTAAGACGAGTACGAGATTTTCTCGAGTAAGCGCGCGTAAACCAGCGTAATTTTGGCGGGAAAACGTGATAGTCATCGTCATTCTGCTACAAGTTTTAGCGGGAATGTCGTGTTAGCGGACAAAAGTTATAAAGTGTTATACGTTTTATCATTTTGCGGCTGGGAGATAGCTTAACCTCCTTATTTTTTTGGTGAAAAAGATGTACAATGAAGCTATATAGGGTGTGTATTATTTGAGAATACGCGAAAAAAACTTTGTGTTAAATCTCGTACTCGTAGTCGTACTCGTCGTAGAATGTAAAGGTCTCTAATGATACCTGGCGTAGAATAAGCTTCCTTCTAAATCTCCTCGCCACCGGGTCATGGTACATCGCCTTAGGACAGGAATTTAATCTCAGTAATAGATCCTTTTCCTTTTCCTCCGAGACCACAAATAAACTGCAAGCAACAAGAAAGTGTTAACGAACATCGCGTGCGGTTAACCCTTTTTTCTTTAAAGAGTAGCTTACATAAAAATTCATGAAAAATAAGAAATTTATATTTGTTTTTGTTGTCGCTAAAAAAAAATAATGAAAAAAAATTGTACCATGTGAAAGAATAGCCTGAATTTCAGCCGTCCCTTCTAGTATGCGACTCGACGAGATGGCTGAAATTCAGCCTAATGAGGTTTCAGTAGAATGGTCACACCACAGAATGTCAAGCACAGGCTTCAAAAGTTAGTACAACGTACAAAACAAATAGTAACATGTGAAAATACTGTTTAAGAGACCACATTTGAATGGTAACACCATAGGATTTCGTCCACAGACTCCAAAGTTAGAATAGCATACACCAAAAATAGTACCATGCGAAAGTATTGCTGGACAGGTTTCATTTGAACGGTCACACTAAGTGTGTAGCATTCAGTTTGCAGACGCGTAATACTAACCTTGACTGGGAGGTGCTCGCGGTTGTTTTAATGGGCTTACTCTTGACCTTGGTCTGGAGTGAGTCAGACTGTTGGTTCTTACTTGAAATATCTGATGTAACAGTCGAAGCTACGGATTCAGTATCATCTTGTTTGGTTACTGAATCTAAGGGTAAAAAAGATGCTTCACAAAATTATTCAACAACTCACGCTACGTTCACACAGTTTCCATAAATACGTACCCAACAGACACTCGATTAGTTTTCAAAAGTTGGGGTAGGGAATCTCCAAAGAACTGGTATGTAAAATACTCTAATCTCTGGCTTCAAACAGGTATAATTATGTAGCCTAAACTTCAGCTTTAACTCTTCTTTTGAAGACCACGCGCTGCCAGAAACGGAACAGAGGACCCTAGTTAACGAACAAACTGGTTTACATCTAGGATAAAACTAACGAACCTGCCTGCTCCTCTTCGCCAGTAAAAAAGAAAGAAGTGCTGTCTACATCCTCAAAACTCGTTGATAAGAGGTTGGAGAAAGAATCAAATCCTGGAAATTACAATGAAAAGTAAGAAACTATAGCAAGTGATTGTATTTTAAAAACAAACAAACAGAAAAAGTGGGTTTAAGGGTTTATAAGTCCGTAGAATCTGAGGCTGGTTTTCCTGTACGAAGTTCATGATCTTAGCTATGAGATCTTCAAAATTGGAGATCGTATCAAAGTTCCTTGTAACAGACCCAAAAGTCTTTGCAAAAGTTAACTCTGTTTATCGAAAAGCCCGGTACCTTTTCGGGTCCGAAGGCAAATTTTGAAATCAACGCCTCTTGCATAGTAGCACGGTTCCTAGCTCAAAAACCGGTCAATCATGCTTCGTTAACTAATACTTTTATCGTGTCATTTTCAAAATTATTGAAACTTTGATCTTGACTGCAAAGACGGTAAACATAAAAGTGCTTTTCGGGCCCGAAAAACTATCAGGACTTTGGAGAGAAGGGCCCCCGATGACGAATACACACCTGATTCAGAGTTCAGTGAGTCTAGCTCACGCATATCTTCGTCGGTAAGTAACTGTGGTATTAAGTCGTCAGATTTACTACTGTCTGTTACAGCTAATGACTAGAAGAAATTCACCAGAAAATGTCATTAGTTGGTTGCTGTGTAGAGGAAAAAATAAAGGCCTCTTTCATATTTCTTTTCTGAGATTATTTGGAAATTGTCTTCTCCGTCAGTGTCAGTTGTTTGTTTACACTGCCTTTCGATTTGAAATAACCCCTAAAATTGAATCAAAATTCGAAGTTAAGATTGTTTGTGTAAAAAGGTTTTAAGGTGACGTTTCATGGAGGACATGAGCACATGCTACTGTTTCCTTCCCACTTGAACTTAGATGACTTTTAACTGAGAACTAACTACTGCATTTAAATTCGCCTTAAAAGTGCAGTTGTCAAATTATACCAGTAGGAATAATTGAAAAGGAGTTAAAAAGGACACGATTTCACTTTATAACAAGTACATTTTCACTAGAAGATTTGTAAATTTGAGGAGTGGCATGCGAAACATGTGAGCAGCTAGTGGCAAAGCAGAGAGTTCAGGAGATGTGAAGTGTCAGGCTTTTTTTCAGGCCTTCAGTTGCAAGCATGGCCATTTCAGCTGTCACACATTTGCTTGATGGACTTGAACAAGAAAGCAAGATGGCTGCCTATAGTCTCTACTTCACTGCTGTCACCAGGGTAATTGCGAACTTCCTATCATTTTAACCTTGATGTACCCGGTAAGAGAATCTGAATGGTGGAATCTGGGAAATGTGAGTTTTGGCATGCGGAATCCTGGGCTTTGGAGTCCAGATTACAGCTCAAGGAATCTAGAATCCCACTAATAGACCTATTCGGCTAACTCAATGTTGTACCCAATTCAAACCCTTTGGGAATAAAACGTTTGTTTCAGGAATTTCCATATCATTTAAATGTGAATGCAACATTATAATGCAAATGCAATACACAAAGAATCTTATCCCCGGGAGATTTGAATTGGGTACAACATTGCGTTAGCCGAATAGGTCTATGCTTGGAATCTGGATCCAAGTTCCACTGACTAAGAATCCTGAATCCACGGAGTGGGATCCAGAATCCAAGACTGTCTCCTTACATCGGGTGATATCATTACATGAGGTGCAAGACACTGGAAAAGATCTCATACCTGTGCTTTGTGTTCATCATCCAGTGTAGGTTGTGTGAGTTCCATTAAAGGCAGTCCTTTGTCTATGTTTTGAGAGATCTTTGACCTGTTTCCTGAGGCCTGGTTTCCTCCTTTTCTTTTACGTTTATTAACCATACTTCCTGTAGTTAAACAAAAATCATGTTGCAGACACACATTTGGTAATAAATTTGGTAAGAAAAAAAATCAACATTTTTTTATTATTTTCATTAGGAAAAATTGCAATAAATAAGAAAAGAAGAAACAAACCTTGTTCATTAAATTTTACTGCTGGTGCAACATTTTCCTGTAAGGCCCACCATCCTGTCTCTTTGTTAAATTCCTTTTGTCCTGACTTGAAAAACTGAGGACACCCCGATGACAATACACCAGCCACTGTACTCGCCCAATTGTTTGTCTTTTTCCTGAAAGATTAAGGTTATGTTCACTCTATACTGGACAGCTTTTGCTCTAGCAAGACAACCATACTGTATAGGGATTCTGTTCACACATAAGTACGATTATTTCTGTAACAGAGCAAAGCTATGCAACACTGATCTCTATTAAAAGTGGAGAGTCACATATCGAATACGTGTTCACACAGTACTAAACTGGAGTGTTTTTTGTGTCGGCCTGAAAAACTGGCTGGCACAGTGTAACTACAGCCTTAGGTAAATATTTGCCACAGGATTCCCAACACGTTAAGCTTGATACATTCATTTTCTTTAAAAAGAATTTCCTAAGAAGATACACGAGCTACAGGACACCCAGCTGGAGCCAAAAACTGTTTGGACAGGTAGACTGAAGTTACTATGAGGAAAAAGGGTTGACTAGGAAAGAGTTGATTGTCACTACCCAGACTTTGAGTATATACACCAAAAAAATCCTAATATTGCTCATTAATAATATTTTATACACTAACTTGAAGAATTATGAGTCCATCATAGAAGGTTAAGGATGACTAAGCAAGGCTTAGATAACTGCAGGACTATGCTTACTTCTTAGGATATAAAACCATCCAGTTCTTGTCAATGAAATGACATATGTCTTCCCTCCATCTAAAATAGCCTTTCCGTCCCCTGCTGGTGGAGTACAGATTGTACAATGACAGGTAAACAGCCTGGATCCTAGAAAAAGACAGTTGAATCAGACCAGGTCTATCCCTCCATCACTCTTCCCTATTCCCTCCTCCTCCATCCCCCCCTGATTGACTCTCTTCATCTCTTTAATCCTCTTTCCATCCCTTTCTCCATATCTCACACCCTTCATCCTTCCATATCCCTCCCAATTTTCTTCACTTCCCTTTTCACCCCACCCTTATTTTCTCAATCTCTCCCATCCCTGACCCTTCCATCTCTCAATCATTTCTTCCCTTCCTCTTTCCATCCTTCCCTCATTTTTCCATCCTTCAGCCATTTGCTATCTCTCTCCATCCATCCATCCATGATAAATGTACCACCCCCTCCCTCCTTCAATCCTTCTTTTTCTCCTTTACTGGTACATGTATTCCTCCATTCTCTATCTCTCTCATTTCTTCCCTCCCTCCTGCTTTTCATACCTCCCTCCCTTCCTTCACCTCTCCCTCTCCCTCATTTCCTAACCGTTTTCCCTCCATTCATCTTTTACCGCTTTCATCCCACTCATTTTATTCCGAATCCAAAATAACAGTAGCAGTTAATGGATTATTTAACAACACCAACCAGCTCAAGTTTTGTCTTGTACAAGATTCTGAGCCTTCCACAGAACAAGTTGCACATGTTAAATCAAAGAACAAATCTCCCAAAAGTGCACTGGGTTTGCCACTCTTAAGACAGCCTGAAAAAAAAAAGAAACTTTTTATTCCTTCCCTTTTCTTTCTATCTTTTTAAGGCTGAACATATAGTATAAAATTGTAAATACTCAGCCTTTTACAGCACGGATTTGCTCAAAAAGAAAAGTTATCGATCCCTATAGCAAACAATCAGCACAAAGCACAAAACAGACAGACACACTTACAAAAAAAATTTAAGTCCTTTAGTTAGCCTCACTAAACACTGTATAGGAAACTTACCAACATGAAACAATCGTCTGCATAAAATACACTGCAGCATATTGCTGTGGACAGGAGACAAAAAAAGGACTGTAAATAACAAAGTATTAAAAGTGTATTGAAACACATATTCAGATTTTCCTATGGAAGCTACTAGATCTTTTCTCATTTCAAAATCTTGATCCTTGCGATATGCTTACTACAAACCTAAGGCCAAGGAAAGAAAATTATTACCGAAGGCAACAGGTGTTTACCAGAGGTACATTAATTTTCTAATCACCATTCTTCTTTTTAAGATCATAAAAAAACACACACACACACACAAAAGAACAGTACAGATAATTAGGGCTTTAAAGGATGCAGTATTGCAGACTTACCTGTCCTTTGTGCCACTGCAATAGCAAATCTCTTCCACAGATTCATATTCAGTTTCCTGTCCAGGATCTATGACCTGAGAAAAGCATATGATATAAAGCTACATGTATCATTCTCCACCCTACACCTCTGACCCTTTTGGTCAACGCACTGGAACAAGAGCTCTAGATGATTCTGAAATGGGAAGTCTTCAAACTGTACAGCCTCGGAAATTTGAAACAATAACTTTTTAGTTGAATTAAGCTTCAACTTTCAAGCAAACCGGAAACGTTCCAGAACTGAAATGATCCGGAAAATTTTTCCGGGCTCATTTCAATTCACTTTCTTAACTGGATGAATTTAGTACTATGAGTGAGAAAAAAACAGTCCAATAACTAAATGAATTCTAAAGGGTTTTAGACAAGATAATTAACGGCCAAATCTCTCGAGCACACTTACCTCTTCAGACATATTTTCTATTTTCGTAGCCCCTTCACTTGTTATAATACAACACTTTTGATTGGTTAAGATTTTGCAATTAAAAAGATTGACCAATGAAAGGACTTCTTATATTACTTCTTGCTATGCTTAGCAACCGAGCCTGGAAAGGAAGCTTCTTTCATGAACTAAAATTTAGTGCTATTTCCGTAAAGAAGGTTGGCTTCATCTTGTGGTTTAGATGCCTAAAAAGTGTTTTTCTCACTTCTCTAGCTACGGGAAAGGATGCTGATGTAGTCACGTTTCATATAAACATGTAATTTATTTCAAGTATTGGATGTAATCAAGGTAAATTGTAAGTTTGTATATTGTTTTTTCTTTCGGTGTACTGTAGCATGTAGTCGGCTGTCCTTATGTGTTCAATATAACGCTTGTATAGATTTGGTCACGTATTCATAAACTGCCTATATGTCCCCATGCATGTTTTTATGAATGCCCGAAAAAATGTCTGATGTCTTTTCTTTTGACCATCTATCTCGTATAGAGAACTATGTTTTTTTCTACCAGGAAGTGCGCGCATTTACGGTAGAACAAATTATCCTTGACATTATACCACAGTCTCTTTAGTTAAGCGTAAAAGGCTTTGTGCTGATTTCCTGTTTTTCTCTGTTCAGGGCCGAAAGTCATATCCTTATATCAGAATAATTTGACACATACTCGTTCATATCATTTGCACCGTTTCGAAACAAAAAGCAAACGCAACGCAGACAATTAAGGGCGACTGCTCAAGCTTATTATTCAAGTATGTTACGCTTTAAATGAGAGAAAACAAAATCTGTGTCTCAACGTGACACTTGTAATTCCCAATATGACTGTTACTCGTTATTTTGACCTTGATTTTCTCCTAAACAAAGTGCAATTTAAAGCTCACTCCTGACTCGCCCGATTGTCATATCTAGATCTTATGATTTGCACCCAGGGGGAGAGAGTCACGGGTAGCTGGCAGATTCTGAGACTAACAGACATCTCTCTTCAGCTAAATGAGGCAAGCCATGCAAGCTATGTTTTTCCCTTTATAGAATTTGCCAAAAAAAAAATAATAATAATAACACCATGAGAGTGGGCAAAAAGGAGGATGCTAATAATTTATTGTTGTCATTAACCACACAGTGATGCCAGCAAATAAAAGAGACAGTTCCACCATTGGGCATTATTTATTCAGGGTTCTCATTAAGTACTGGCAACTGGCTGAAAAACCAGACTCTTTAAGGTCTGAGCCGTCCACTTTAGGGGGAAAGGGGTAAAATGAGAGAATGAAAGCCTCAAATTGTCCACAGAACTTGATCGCCAAACCTCCCATTTTTACATCCTAGCTGTCTACTTTAAAACTTAATGGGAAACCTGTTTGTTGTGTCTACTTATTAAATCAACTAGTGAGCCACACGCACTTAGGCAGGTGGACTCTGTCTTTACCAAGACTCCTTTGCTCTAGGGATGTTTTAATTAGAATGTTGCACTAATGCTCTTTTCTGTGACTTTCTTGTTTATAGGTTCTTGTCATTAAGTGAGTAAATGAGAACACCAAATGGCAGATCCCCTTTTTCAGCATTGGTTTCATGGTCGCATAAGCCGACAAGATGCCGAAGAGCTTCTCGTCCGTGCTGGCAAGCGTGATGGATTGTACTTGCTACGTGAAAGTACTGCTTCAGCAGGAAGCTATGCTCTGTCTATGTGCCATAATAATAAGATAATCCATTATCACATCCAACGCCATACAGATGGAATGGTGGCTATTGAAGATGGCAGGAGATTTCCTGGACCAGTTGAGTTGGTGTATCATCATCAACGTACTTTGGATGGACTATTGACCAGACTTACAGAGCCGTGCAATCGCCTCCCTGGGGTACCCCCTAAAACTTTCTCTGGAGCCAATCAGGAACACATCAAAGGTGCAGCTATTGCTGCTATGGCTTCAATGGGATTAGAGGTTTGTTTTATGCACTAGTTGATAAAGTGTTATTAACCCTTTAAGCCCCAATATACATGTACAAATTCTCCAAACTGATCTCTATACATTTCCGTAAAGAATGAGTTGAGACAATTTGATAAAAGATCAAACAATTTTCTCTTAGGTGATCAATTTATTAATTCTCATGACCTAACGTCTTGACATTTTATGTAATTTGTTAGGAGAAAATTGATGTTGGTCACTATTGGGACTTAAAGGGTTTATAAGCTTGCTCTTTTTGCTCAAAATCAACAACTTTATGCTGTTTTATTTTCTGTTGGAGGCCCCCTTTTGAAGACTGTGATTTCAGTATTGGGATATTTTCCACCCAGCTAGTTGGTTCCCTGCATCGTGAAACCAATTCATGTATCTGGACTGGTTTAATGGTCATTTATAGTGAAATCTAAAAGTTGATTAATTTTTATGTATTTGTCATGCTTATGTTATTGGCTTCTAAATTACAAATTCTATCCGTCTAGGATGGTGATGAAAGCACCGCTACCCTTATGAGAGCTAAATTAGAAAGTGCTATTGGCTCTGTCATGCACAAAAGTCAGCCGTGGTTTCACAATGACATTTCACGCGATGAAGCAGAAAGGCGTCTACAGGTGATGGGATTGCAAGATGGAATGTTTCTTATCCGTGAAAAAGACCCAGGGTTTGTTCTTGGCCTTGCTCATGAAAACGCTGTTGTGCATTACTTGTTTGATGTTGATGCACTTGGAAAACTGTCAATCAAATCTGGCCCAAAGTTTGATAACCTGATGCTAGCGGTCGACCATTACACACAACGAGAGGATGGTTTGCTGTGTAAATTGCGTGAACCTTGTAACGCTGAGCTGTTTGATGGTCGGCGGAGAACCCCTTCAACAGGAACTCGTCCTCCTGGCCTATTTGAACAAAGAAGATCACCCAGCAGCTCCCTTAATGAGAACTCGCCTTTTGCTTCAAACCCTTTTCTGCGTGCCGGGTCAGGGACTGGCGCTATGGTGCCTGATATAATACGTGAAGGTACAGATATTTTGAATGTGTTTCTCAGGGCCTCTGATATTTCGCGGAAAAAAAAGCAAAATTTCGCGGGATTTTCAGGGGCAAATTCGGGGAAAAATCGGCCGATTTCGCGGGATTTTCGCGGGAGCGAAGTCAAAATTCGCAGAAAAATCAGCCGATTTCGAAGGATTTTCACGGGCAAATGCTTAGAAAAATCGGCAAATTTCGGGGGGAAACTTCGCCAAATACAATCAGTAAAAAACAGCCGATTTCGCTGGATTTTTTTTGGCAAATTTCGCTAAAATCGATCAATTTTGCATCGATATGACCAGCATTGTTTAACGTTGTTTTTTTTAACAGGGATAATCATTTGCTCTTTCAACAACAGTTCGCTCGAGAAATGAGCGAATGGTAAAGCTATTAACATTATGGTTAGTGCCCAGTTTTTCGCAACATTAATCTAAGAATGCCTGGTAGTTTTGGGACGTTGTTTACTCGTTGCAGTGACGAAGTGAATAAAACAGGTCTAATGGCCAAGATAAGTATTAAATATGTTTTGCCGACATGTATTTGGAGATATTTCTGGCGGATGTCACGTTTTTTGGGAATTTCGCGGGTCCGCGACCGCGCGAAATATCAGAAGCCCTGGTTTCTGTGTAGGTGTACATGTATGCTGTACGTGAAATTATCACTTACAGAGCTTCATTTAATCATCTGTGAAACCCTCTTTGTGTTTTACTCCAAATACAATAATATACATATGGGAAAATAAAAATAATTGTTATTTGCTGCAGTTCTAAGAATAGCAGCCAATTATTGTTTTCACAACTTCAACTTATTAACAGCTGTCATGAAGACTTAAGTATAAAAGGGCAGGATTTTACTGAGGTGATCATTCTAAGCTGACATCACTGTTTGATTGATTTCATTTGTCAATGCTCGTTGATGTACTCATAATTTTGTATTCTAGTTCAACCTCTCTCCCTCGAGTGTCTGGTCCTGCTTTCAGTAGAGTTCAGGTTTCCTCCTTAGATAAGGGGGTTTCTCCTGACAGGCAGCAAACACAATATCATCTTTATTCCATTATTGATCAAAGAACTTTACTTTAGACCTTGTTACATTTTTCCTGCTTAGCTACCTTTGGGGTAGCTAAGTGTTTGTATTTGCATAAATAAACAGGGACTGATGTTTGCGTTACGCTGGGCTTCTTTCCAGTGCCGCAATCAGTTTTCCTATTTACCACCGTTTTCCTTGATACGCGACTTTTCAAATCGAAACACCCGCTGAAACGTTTCCAAAATTTCCGTCAATCATACACGTCATACCATATATGGAAGTGTTAATACCTCCACGCGCGACAGAAAGATGGCGGATTCGACAGATAGCTTCGAATTCACCAGTCAGTACAGTGAAATGTTCGAAGATAGATCCGTCGAACTACCAGATTTGGAAGAAACACAAATATGGGATAGCTCAAATATAAGACATGCAATATGTACCTTTCTTAGTGTAAAGCCCATTTTCTTCAATAGCTTAGCGATCGTGGACACGTGAATTGTCTTTCCCAGTGCGAACTGTATCCATTCCTGTATTTCATCCTCGTAAATCTCTGGATATTGCTGGATTACCCTTCTTATTAATGACACGTCCTGTGCTAAGTCCAGATGAGGAAAACAATGGTTATGTATTCGTTTGATACAATTAGGCTCATTTAGAGAAGTGATTACAAAAACCTCAGTTCAAATCATAAGCTTACTTACCTTCCAACTTTCTCACTCTACCCAGCCGTGATTGATAATGAACTGTTTTTGTGTTCTGGTAAAGATTTCGAATCTTCTTTTTTACAAACGTCTTCCCTACGTGAAGTAGTCTAGCAACACGTTCGACAGTAAATCCCTGAACGAGTAAATGCACTACTCGCCAACGCAAATTTAACGAATAACTTGCCACCATGTTTACATGTAACTTCGACCAGCCGCCATATTTTAAATGTTCAGGCCCAGTCCAACACTTCCATGTATATGGTATGACGAGTATGATTGACGGAAATTTTGGAAACGTTTCAGCGGGTGTTTTGATTTGGAAAGTCGCGTATCAAGGAAAACGGTGGTAACACAGAATGATTTATTGTTTTTTATTGTTCACCCAATAGAAAATTTGGTAACCAATAATGATACATGCACAAAAAAATGTGTTTCACCTTGTAAGCTGTAATTTCAACACCAAACTGTTGTCCAAACATCTCATGGTGATATTAAGAATCTGTTAAACCAAGACTTTTTTTTTTTTTGCTTTTTTAGCCTTTCCAGGACCTTCTTCACCAAGGAATGTTCCTCCACCACTACCTACTTCCCTTCCACCAGGCAGTAGGAATTCAGTTGGACCCCCTCGATTACCACCCAGACCAGTTCCTGTCAGTCCAAGAGGTCCAATTCCACCACCAGTTAGTCCTGGTCCTTCAGTTGCCACAGATGGAAGAAGGATGCCAGGTAGACTAAAATTTAACGGGTACTTTATTTGAGTGTCAATGTATTTAGCACTTAAGTACTAATTGAGAGCACTACTTTCATGTCCCCTACTGGAGATGGGACCACCATGTTATGGGGTCATCTGGGCCTCTTGAAGGTCTAGCCGTTAGCAGGGCAAAGGCAGACTACCTTCATTTCTCAGTTTTTTAAGGCGCCAAGTATTAGTCCAGCCCCAGGAATTGAAACAATGACCTCCCTCTCTGCAGTCAAGCAATTATTTACGGACTAAGCTAATATCTGCTGTGGGTAAAGTTATTAACTGCTGTGGTTAAGATATTAGAGAGTTTAAGCTTCACATATACGGAAAACCGCAAACATCAGATTCAGGTTGAGAATTTCTCAAATTAGAAAAAATGAGCAGATAAAAACATGTCAGAAAATTTTTATGGATAAAAAATTGTGTGAAACTTCTAATTTATTTTTAGAAATAATAAACAGTAGGCGACAAGTAAATGGGAAACTTGGTCACATGGTACAAATTCGTGTTTCGCTTTTGACGTAAACGTGATGCCTAACCTCTCTATTAACCATTTTTCTTTTGGATTCTTTGATGGAAATGGAAATGTATGTCTTTAGACTGCACATGTGAGCTATTAAGTAGTTTTGACACGGTCTTTTCGTTGTTCTTTCGGTTCAGGTGCATCTGGAGGTGCTCAGTTTGAGGCCATTTATGACAGCATTAAGATGAAGAAAAGCTCTTTTTACTTCAATCAGTTTAAAGATGTTCAAACTCGGAAGCTGAGGAGTGAAAATTTAAAACTAGAAAAAGAGTTGGGTGAGTATATTTTGCAGGAAAGTAGAATTAATTTTGTACTTTGATGTTGGGATTATAGGTTGAAGTGGTAAAGGTTTTTATCCCTCCCAGCTATGTCCATTGCTGTCACTCAGCATGTTTATAAGTTGACATTTGTAGTGAAACAAAATGTACAGGATTGTATTACTAACCAGGCTGAAAGGGTGAGAATAGTTACTGTATTATTTCCTTGGTATCTTACTTTTTTCTTTGTGTTTAAATGCTGACATTGTTCTTATGATTTTGTTGTTTGTGTTTTTAATCAGGTCATGGTAATTTTGGCTCTGTTCTCAAAGGCGAGTACACTAAGTTAAATGGAGAGTTGATTCCGGTGGCTGTTAAGAAGCTGAAATCTGAGGAAATGAATAATCCTAAGGTACAATATTATTTAAACATGCATTTTGCATTCTCAGACATAATTTAACTTATACATATACAGGTATGCGTAACTACTTTCCAAATCATTGTAGTAAATGTTATAGCAAAAAAATTAAGGTTTTTTTCTCATTTTCTTTTAAGGCTGAAATTATGCATGAAGCTGAAGTTATGATGAAACTGGATCACCCAAATATTGTTAGAATAATAGGTACTGTGTGATAATATTAGCATTTTAATGACTTTGTTAAATTGATTTTGTAGCTTTTGACTTCTTTGCAGGTCTGCATGGTATAGTTAAACTGATACAGAAAGGTTGTTATATGAAAGAGTAGAGTATACACTGTTTGTGACAGTACATTAA